CATAATCTGGCACCTTGACCTTTGAACTATCTCGAGTTCGAACGATATATATATATATATATATATATATATATATAGTGCTGTTTCATTCAGTTGATCACATTCCTCCGTCCGCAAAGCGTATCGCTATATGGCTACTGTTGATCCTCAGCCATGCTCACTTCTGGCACCAGATTGCTAATGTTTCTTTCTGAATCCTCCCGTGGAACTTGGGCGCAAACTGAGGAACCAGGGGCAACAGTCAGAGGATTCTCCTCTCCGTCGACCTCTTGTGTTTTTCTCACGGATCTTGTTGTTCGAGTGAAACGGGCAACCCTGGTGCTATTCCTAAGTGTCCCCACATCGAAAGTTTATCAATGCTAGTTGTCTCCTGAAGGATCCACAAATCGATTATTGTCCACAAAAACCTCTGCTGTTTTCTGAACTCCTGGTAACGAAGCTTTTATGAATGTGATCCCGGTTAATATTTGTTCAGGCCTCTCTATAACCGTAGGGGTGGTGGCGTTTTTGAACGTTTTTTACAAATCGATGAAACACGGTGGCTTTACATTCACTATTCATGAATTAGACAGGATGGTCATTTACCTGATGCAGTGCGCCGCCGTCTTTTTATTCGTATTACAAATAAACAAGAACTGTCAGTGAAATAATGTTTATTTTCTCATCTCAGCTAGAACGAGTGGATCGAGAAATCGAGTTGCGACGAGCCATACGCAGAATATCTTTCGGCGACCCATCGGGCGCGCTCCCCAAAGATGGCGATGATTCAAATGAATGGTTCTCTGCCACAAACCTCCAAGGGTTGGCTGAAGCCGGCTTGGAACACCCTTGGATCAGTGCTATAGTCACCTACCGTGAGCAGTTAGTGGAAAAGTCAGAGCAGTTGGCTAAGCACAATGTTATTTCGCGCGGACCTATCCCCCTTTCTCGGCAGGTCTCCAACATTCAGGTCAGTATGCGCGTTCCTGCAGGTTTCACATTTTCGGATCTTGCTACAATATGTTTGGTACCCAGGGACTAGGTATTTAAACATGTTATCCGGGGTTCTTCCCAGCATCCTCAAAAGATCCTACATCGTTTCTTCTTCTCTGAACCGCGCTCTAGTACTCGCAACTTCGGCGCCGACTATCTACATTCGTGGTTGGATTCACCGAAAAACTCCTGCTTCACCGTTGCTCCAATCAAGGTCTACCTCAACTCAATCCGGACAGTATTCAGCGGTGGTTGGAAGTGGCCTCCGACCTTGCTGAATGGTTGACGGAACCTGAGAGATTCCATACATTTGCTGACATTGTGGAACCGTTATTACATGGAGTGCTTGCGGTGAGTCAGTTGGTTTCAGACAGACAGTCATTTGTTTTGTAGCTGAATTCATCTTGACTGGGTAATCTAGCAATTGTTTTCACATTCCATACACTGGAGTCGTATGGTGTTCCCTTCCTTTGAAAGGGAAGCTACGACTCAGAACCGGGATCTTTGGCTTTTCTCAGGGGATGAACTTTTCTCAGAGTTCCAGTAGTACATAAGGTTGACGGAAACTCGGGGACTGCGCCTACCGGATGAGCCCAAAGAAGCATGAACCAGGTCGTGGGCTGTCGAAGAATTTTAGGCAACCTTATGCGTTGTGTATTTTCCCAGTTGATTTGTTGATCGTATCCAGCGCCAAGGTCGTGAAAAAATTGTGAAGTCTTTCAGACTTTTGAGAAAAGTTCCACCCTTGTTTGTCTCCTGATTCCCGCACAGTACAGCTCATCCAAAAGAAGTACCAGGGCTGAGATACTGTCAAGTTGCTCGAAACCTAGACAGGAGCAGCCGAGATGCCGAGGCTGGGTTCGAACCATGGTCCTCCCGGTTACTATGTATGCACTTCAACCACTGAGGTGTCTCGCTCACTTTTACTGCAAAGCAAACCACTGTATGTGGTTTCATATTTCTGGTTTTTTAGAGTATCTTCGTTGGAATCCCCACTTTAATTTAACGCCATCGTAGTGCAAACGATATCGTCATGTAAATTCGTGTCTACTAGTGACGAAACCCACCTTATCTTGCAAAATCATCCTTAGACTACGTGACAATCCCAGGTTGCATTACTGATTTTTGCAACTCCCGCGTCACTTACATCTATGATTTCTGTTTTATTTAGACTTTGGTAGATAGAATTTGCACCCGAGATGTGCATTGGCTTCAAAGTTTACTCGTATTCTATCTTCCGGGCATTTGCTCTAAGAGCCACAAGACTATTGAGGAAGAGGAATTCAAGCTGGATGTTGTCTGTAATTGCTTGCATTTATGGAAGGATTCTGGATTCAAATTTGCTCGGCTAGTTTGAAAGCCATCTATGCGTTGACTCACGTCTCAAACTAGAGTTGTCCGAAGTAATCCTCCGGTTAATGCAACGTGACTTTTTGTCGTATCTTCCTATGATCTTCGTTCGTGGGGCGGAAAACCCGATGTAAACCTGGTGGGGATTGTATGCTGCACACTCCTAGGAAGTCACCGCTTCGGAGGATTGAGGTCAGGGTCTCTCTTTCTGAGACGTGGTTACTGTGCCCAACATGTGGTTTGACTCAAGAGCTGTAGTTTGTCACCGTAGATTGATATGCATTTGAGATTTTCCTCATGATGATACAGTTGTCTTCCGGATGCAGGGATTCTACGTCCACAAATTATGCACTGGATTGGCCGTAACACCCTTCCAATGCCTCGCTGCCAGCCACCCGAAGGTTGTACGAGGGCTGGGATAGTGCGAGGTTGCCCGAGCTTAGATAGGGGAAATCGAGAGGCAGAGGTCGGGTTCGGGACCTTCCGGTCAGTAAATTCTTGCTTCAACCATCTCGCCATTCTGGCCATTTTCCGCTGCCAATTTCCACTTCCTTTTTGTGCACTGGTTGAAACTAGAGGAATGAAGTGCCCCCTTCTAAGAACGAACACTCTTCGGAAAATGACCAATAATTTGGCTTTGCTTGCCCTCAGTTCAGTAAGCTTCCGATGTTCAAAGCTGACCTGCTCAGCAGGGCAACGGTCAAAGGTACACTGAGCGTACCGAACGTCGTAAACACGTCAGAAGAAAACATGTGCAACGCATTGGAACACTCTTAGAATCCGGACGCTTCTATGCATCCAACTTGTACTGTAACTCGATTGGTTTTTAAACCGATCAGAGCTCGCCTCGACATGAACTAGGCGTATTGACCATGGCAATACCAACTGCAAGCTGTGAGGCGGTTAGGACATGAGATGAGCACTGCCACTGATTCCCAATAAGGATGAAACAGCTGTACAGTGCTCCTCGGCTTTTCAGCATTGATTGGCTTCATTTACAGGACGAAATCCACGCAAAATTACCAAATATGCTCACACTACCAAAGTGAGATTCTACCTAACGATAAAACTGAACTCCGGACATTAAACGTTCGTTCAGCTCGCTTTTTCACGTGAACTTGATCACTTATCAGCTTGAATCCCAAGTGTTCAGTCGATGTACGCTATTACCATATCATTTTGTGCAACCACAGTGGATTGTCACAAGTACGGAACAAGTGAAAGGATAAACCTCCAATAAGTTTTGATCAGCTAGGTGCTTTCAGCTCCAACATATTTCTGATTAGTCCTCAGTCGTTCTATCGTCTCTAACCTGTTCCTGTTGATCATTTCAGATTCTTCGAGGTTTACAAATATGGACACATTATGGCCCCCTGCCGATGAATATGAAGGTAAGGCGGAAGCGATGGTGTGTTTGAACTCACTAGTTTTGTGCAATTCCATTAGCATAGTTAACTTGTGTGTTAAGGCTACTAGATGCCCTTTCGTCACTAGCTTCTTATTTAGCGAGATGGTTCAATGGTTAAAGCGCGAATTCACTGACCGGAAGGTCGGTGGTTCGAACCCAACCTCTGCCTCTCGACTTCCCCTGTTTAGGCTTGGGTAACCTGGCGCTATCCAAGCCCTCGTGCTTCCTTCGGGTGGCATGGCAGTTAGGTCCTGATTGGGCGCTGCAGCTGAACGACTTGTTTCCGCCACATGTTTGCATGCTCATCCCTTCAGTTCTCTTTCTTCCATACTCATCTAGTCAGCGACGGTGACTGATCTGGTTGGTCTGTTGTCAACTGGCCTAATGAGCAATCAAACAGTCATTGATCGACCGCTTTCACTCAACTGTCTATCCTCATCCCTATATCTGGCCTACCAACTGACTAGCGTCAGTGTCCGCAATACACTAAAACAAGCAGCCATTGCAGTGTCCCTGGAAACGAATCCTTCCGGCCCTACTCAAGCCCTGGCCTTCCAGGTGGAATTCCGCTTATTCTCGTTAATACTGGATCTTATCTGGTTGCATCATGTTGACTCTGCTGGTAGTCATGACTATCAGCTTACCTCTTTCACGGGGCGACTCTTAGCCTTTCTCAACCGACCCTTGGCCAGACGTTGGCATCAAGCAGAAGCTGATCGGAAGAAAGCGGCTGCTGAGCGGGCTGCTCTTTTCATCGAGGCAGCGAGTCGAAAGCACCGGATACAGGGTGAACTTCAACAAGGGTCAAAGTCAAAGAAGGACAATGCACGGGACGTGCAAGCAGATTTGATCGATCCGGATTTAGTAGAAGAAGTCGAGTGGCGATTGCGCTTCCCCGAAACCGCTAGCCTTAACGCATTGGCGGAAATGAGCGCGGAGTCTGGACAGCTTGGTCTGGGACGAGAAGAACAGATACAACAGGTAACTGGTAATCTTTTAGCGCGTTTCGCAATACTTTATCATTAATAGTAATCCAAACAGAAAAGTACGCACTGTGAGGGACAGTCGGATTCACTAGGTAACTATCAATTAATCCTTAATTCATACGGAACGCGAACCCATGATTGCACGTTTGCAGGTTTGCGGTTCTGCCCACTGAGTATGGATGACTGAGTCATACGACGCTTGTTCATTACCGGCACTGGCGACCTCAGAACGACCCACCTTTCACAAATATGTCCCGTTTAGTTGATCAGCTTGTTTTCAAGTCTTGGAACGTAGGTTCGATGTAAGCATTTCAAACATCAAATGGAATGAAGGAACTCTCTCCATAGCCGTAATACACGACTCCTAAGGTTGCTGGAACCTCTTCGACAGCGCACGACCGGTCTCACCCTTCCTGGGGCTCATCAGGTAGCATCAGTCCACGAGTTTCCGTCAACTTTATGTCCTACTTGAACCCAAATTGAACGGATTTCATAAATAAGATTCAGCTTGGTTTCAGTTGAGTCTCCCGACAAAACTAGATTGATATGCAAATGAATGTGTTTGTTGGAACTCTCTCTGTTTGTATGTCTACATGATCAGTGTTCGAGCCGGATGGCTTGATATGACCACAGTTTGACATTACAGCGATTCAACCGAAACGTTGATTGGCAATGAATTTAGGTGTTATGATTGCGTTTTTTTTTATTAAGAAGAGTGAACTCCATTGGTCCATTTGGTGCGTGCAACACAGGTGCTCCGTTCAGTTTTGATGAAAATTGTTTTTTTTTGAACGGACGAAAGTACGATTTACTGTGAGGAATTCGCGACGTTCACCGGCCAGCAGTTGCAGCCCTACTTCTGTACTTGGAATCCTGAACCTTTCCGTGTGTATGCATTTTTCTTCTATAGTGGAGAAACGCCAGGGGAACTGGACTCACGTCAGCAGTCGGCACAACCACACGTGTATCGGGTTTCCTAAAGCAGTTTATCCACCTCAACTCCCTAGATAAATCAATCAATCTCCATTTAGATATGGATAGATAGCTCACAAGTTATCTGCCCTCCACCAAGGTTCAATATGGTTTTAAACGGCAACTACACTTTGAGCTGTTGTTTGTGTAAATCTGTCCTCATCTGCCTGCCTCTCTTACCGAGATGTTCATATATGAATTAGAACTTCCCTATTTGGATTGTCTCCAGCCCCTGTCAGTGGAATGCAGCCTCACACTAGGTCATCCTGAATGAGAGACGACGTGTTCTCAAAGTGATATCTATTCATCCTTGCAAATGAAAGCAGAAAAGATTTGATTCAGCATCATTCATGATATTCTCTCGCTTTGGAGTATAGCCATGGGACTTTTTCTGCCCGAATCGTATTACGCCCTAATGTGTGTATTACCCGACTAGCCGGAGTACATTCCATCTTCATTTATCCTTATCGCTGCAGACCGTTCGAAAGCTGGAGCAGGTGGACAAATGGTTAGAACGGGCTCTTGGTGAAACCACTCGAACTTGGATCCCCGATGAGTCGGAACTCATTTACTGGGTCGATCGGACAGTCGAACTGCTGTTGTCTCAAGCTACCAATGTGGTTTCTAAAGACCATGCGTCCGAGTGGCGTTGGCATACTTTACTCAATGGATACAGTATGGCTAGCTGGTTGACCTTACACAGTTCTGTCAGCTTGGGTAAGCTTGGCCGTCCGTTCTCCTTTTTCTACCTTCCATCCATCCATCTATTTGTTTGCTTTCTTCACTTATGTCTCACTTTTCACTTCAGACCCAAGCACGGACAAACAAAGTCTGTCGACCCTTTTAGCTATCACAGCCTATTTGGCACAAAATGACTTGCGTTCCAAAGCCCGACTACCCATTCACCAAGAGCGAAATGCGTCTTTGGATGTTTATCGGGACCCTATACCTTTGGATGCTGCTTCGAGACTGTTGGCCGTTCTGGAACATCTAGAACGCAGGGTTAGACAGATTTTACACGAGTGGCCGGGCCAGCCGAGTCTACTTCATGTAAGTTTATATCACCGCTTTGTGTATAGCTTATGAGATTTTTAAACAGAGTTTTGCTAAGAAGCGCTTATTCCGTGCCATGCGTTTTAGTTTTTTTTGCATTAAAATAGAAACAGGTCAAATTATGTGACTCCATGCCACAAGATTTCTCTGCGTGGTTAACACGCGAATTTACTCACCAAGGGATCCGTGGTTCGAACCCAACTCCGGTATCTCGACTTCTGCTGTCGAGGCTTGGGCAAACTGCCGATATCTCCACCGTCCTGCTTCATTTGGGTGACATGACAACTATGCGTTTTTTTAATATTGCCATTGTTGTTTTCATTTACTTACTACTATGCCTTTGCTGCGGAACTTGTTAGCTAGATTTGTCTTGTAATCACCATCGTCATTCACATTCCTCATATAGTATATACCGTTACCTACGTACGGAAGCTTATCTGTCGACTTGTAGTTTGGGCATCAGTTTCTGCTTGTTCGTTCATCACACCACCTGTCTGTTCTTGCCCGAAGCTACAGCCATCCCGTGATGTCACTGACCTTCCGATATATAGGTGTCTCGAATAGTTTTCATAGACTTCACCTAGTTTTTTTCCACATCTCGTTCCGTTAAAATAAACTCACAGGGTTGCACTTTATTGGAGAATCGATGTCCATCGCTGATATCGCTATCGGTGACGAGGATGTATGGTATTTGTTTTTTTCCCCACGAATCACACCAGATCACTTCTTCCTTTTCAGCTACTCACGCTCATTCGTCGCCTCGAAGGATTTCATGTTTCCGATCCACTGATGAAGTTTCTTACAGGAGTAGAAATGATCTGGCAGGAAATGCATGTGAGTTTTCTTCGGACATTGATCACTGTTACTCAAAATATCTGACTTGTTCTGATGGCATTGATATGAGCTGATTGTGCCAGTTGGTTTAATTGTTTTGACTGATGTACTGCACTGTGCTCTCGGTCCTCAGAAGACGGACTGTGTAACGAACCACGTCTTTTCGAGGCATCACATCCCGCTTTTGCGAGGCCGCCGACACCTCATGGACTGTTGCGGATCTTGTTAGCCAGTTGGTTCATGTGTTGTTAAGCGATATGATTTCCTGACATCAATAAAGTTGGTCTGTACATTATACTTCTGTTGCACCACGCGTGTATAAACGTAAGA